ATATATTTTAGCAGTCTCACTCAGAAGATGCCATAATTGTTTTAGCTTTAATTTCCCCAGCAATTTGCTCAATTCCATATTTTTGTTTTTCTTTGTCGTTCTGTTAGATTTATCCAAAACAGAGAAGGACCTTACTTGTCTTATTGTCTATATATTTTTGTAATTCAGTTAATTTTTCCTCTATGAATTTAAGAAATTTGGAACATGTACACTAAATACTTATATTGGTTTGTTGTCCAGGGTTCATTTCAGCATAATATTGTTTACTTATTTATCTCTTTTTATGTTATGAATTGTTGCTATTATTTTTTACTTTAATAATATAATTACAACTCCTGCTTCTTTTGGATTCACCTAATGCATAGTAAATTTTGTTCTTGGATCTCATTTTTATTTTATATATGTCCTTGCTTTTTAGATGTATTTCTTACAAGCAACAGATTGTGAAGTTTTGGGTTTTTTATCCAATCTGTTACACTTTTTTATTTAATTAGATTGTTTAAGCCATTCACATTTAAACTTATGAGTTAGATTTAGATTTCCCTCCATTTGTCTCTAATAGTTTTTCCCCCCCAACTTAGTGTTTTTCCCCTTCTTCCTTATAAAGATAGCACCTTGTTTCTTCAGTTATTTTAACGTAATCTACTTTAAGGTAACCCTATTCCCAATGACTCTTTCCCTAACGCTTCTCCTTCTTCCATTTGTTGCCCTTTCCTCTAGTTTTTGGAGTTTTGCTCAATTTATTAGTTCCCTTTTCCTTTCTTCCTGTGATCTAGTTATTTAATTCCTTCCCTCTTTTTTTCCCCTCTTAGTTAAGTATTTAAGTAAAATTCTTTTGCCTCTTTTCCCTTTCAATTTGTTTTATTAGTTCTTTACTTTCATTTTCTGTACTTTTTTTCTAAAAAGAATTTATTTCCCTTTTCCTCTTCATTATTTGTATTAACTTTTCAATTTATTTCAGATTTTTATTCTTTGATTAATGACCCTTAAACTTATTTATTCCTTCATTAGTCTTGCATTCTGTGTGGAATTACAGCTTCTAAGGTACCTGTTTTGAGTTCTCTCTTCTAAATAGTTTTGGCCTCCAATTGCTTTTTTCTCTTGTGATTCACTCTTAGAAAAATCAATTCCTGCAGGTGATTTAGAGCAGCAGTGTCAAACTCAAATAGAAATGGGACTCACTAAACTATATGTAAGGATCCCTACAGACCACATATTTACTTAGAAAATCACATGTTAACATTATGTTCTATTATATTTTTATTTATTTTGTTAAATATTTCCCAGTTATACTTTAATTGGTTTAGGTCAATGGGGTTTGTTTTTGATATCTCTGACATAGAGGATGGGGCAGCTAGATGGTGCAGTAGATAGAGTGCCTAGAGTCAGGAAGACTCGTTTTCAGGAGTTCAAATCTGGCCTCAGATACATACTAGCTGTGTGACCCTGAGCAAGTCACTTAACCTTGTTTGTCTCAGTTTCCTCATCTGTAAGATGAACTGGGGAAGAATATGGTAAACTACTCTAGTATCTGCCAAATGGGGTCATGAAGAGTTGGACACTACCAAATGACTCAACCAGACATAAAGGACAGAAATATTGTCCCATGTTAGGAATTTTCCCATGTCCCTAATTGTGCACTTCATTACTAGCCTTCCCCTTCCCCATGACTGTTTCCCCCCCCCCCACATATATATCATGAAATTTCCTCTCTGAATCAATTCCTTCCCACTCTTTTGGATGTCAGTTGCCCCCAGAAGCTCTGATTCCCCTTCTCCTGAGACAGGTCTTAGAGAGAGGTCTTACTAAGCAAATTATATCAATTCCATGATCCATTTATAGAATATCTTTGCTCTCCTATGGGAGCATTTTTTGGTGGTACCCCCTCCCACCACTGAAAAAAGATTTCACTGTTTCTTTTCTTCTGTTTTCCAGCCCAACTCTTTGCCTTCTCACCCATTCTCCTATCAACTCTCTTCTTCATGCAAGAATACAGGAGTTAATTTCCTTCCATCGTCTACCTTTGACTTGATTAGGTTACATCACATATTCTTTTCTGTGTTCTTCTTCTCCCCTCTCCTTTTATATACCCTCCCATTCTACAATTTAGTCCCTCTATAAACATTTATTCATTTGTAGGTCAGTGTGTTGTAGGTGTGAAGTTTAGTCCATGATGGTTTAGGCTTGTTCCTCCACCATCACTTCTATTTGACTTCCACTTTCACTCTGGTCTCTTTCATATTCTGCTGGAAAGAAATCTCTTAATTATCTGTGTTGCTGTTTTGTTCTTGTTTTTATTGTTCTTGTTAACCCTGTATATGTCTTTCTTTTTTTTTCATTTTTTCTCTTTTTTTTCCCTCAGGATAATTAATTTTGTTATTTGCGTCTTCCTTGGCTTTTGTGTTTCTTTTCCTTTCTTGTATTTTTGTTGTCTGGGTGTTTGCAAAGCAAATTATCTGCTCGTGTCTGGTTTTCTTTGTAAGAATACTTTAAATATCTCTTTTTATAGAACATCCATTTTTTTTCCATTAATGACTAAGCTCAAGATGTCACCATAGATTGTAAATTGAGTTCCCTTGCTCTTAGGAACTCATTAATACATTCTCTTCAGTAGTTTCTGGTGGGTGAAGATTAGTCTTGTGTCATTCAAATTTCCTTTCCTTCATATCTGAATTTCTTTCTCCTGGTTGTTTGTAGAATTTTTTTTTGTTTTGTTCAATTTAACCACCATCTTGGAGATTGCAGCATAGAGGATTTTTTATTTTTATTATTTTATTTTGATTATGTATTATATCTAATATGTTACATTATGGTTTTATTATATACTATATTTATTATTGTTTTTTTCTGGAGGTAATCTGTGGATTCTTTTCATTGGCACTTTATTTTCTTTGTTCGAAAGTTCTGGGCAGTTTTCTCATTATTTCTTCCATTATGATGTTTTTTGACTTGTGTTCTTCTGGGAGACTAATAATCCTTAAGTTGTGTCTATGCATCCTGCCTTCTAGATCAATGTTTTTTGCTCATGTAGAGATCATGTTTTCTTTTAAAATTACTACTTCATGCTTTTTTTCTTCCAAACTATTCTTCACTTTTTTGTATTTGCAACACAAACCAGTTGTTCTTTCTTTTGTTTCTTTTGTAAGGCTTGTCATCATTAATTCAAGCTTTTCTCTTATGTTGATTATTTCTGCTCTGAAGGCCATAAATACTGCTTTTACAATTATCATTTCTTTAAAAAAAACATTTAGGAACATTCTTCTTGGGTTCCATGCTCTCTTTGGAATCTAATATCCTTTGCCTCATTAGGTGTTGATTCATTATCTTTCAAGAATGAGTCAGGTAGGTGGTGCAGTGGCTAATGCACTGGGCCTAGAGTCAGGATAGACCTTGAGTTCAAATCCCATCTCAGACACTTACAAACTGTATGACCCTGGGCAAGTCACTTAACCTTCAACTGCCTCAGTATCCTCAACTGTAAAATAGGAACAATAATAGCATCTACCTCACAGAGTTGTAGTGAGAGGATAAAATGAAATGATATTTATAAAATGCCTTAGCATAGTGCCTGGTACATAGTAGGCTTTTAATAAATGCTTGTGTCCCTTCCTTATTTCCTTCCTTCCATCCTTCCTTCTTTCTTTTCTTACTTAATTTTATAATATTTATTCACAGATTTTTTTTAACTCATTTACCTGATCTGGTGGTCATATTTCTTTCTTATTCATATCTTCCCTGTAAGTTTATCTATTTATGTTTAAGGTCTTTAACTGAGTTTTCTTCCTTCTTCCTCCTGAGATCTTTAGTAATTTTTCCCCCATCACTCACTTTCTGACTCCTTCCTCTTGATGACAGTATCTACGGAGGATAGATCTCAAAGCTATCTGAGCCTTCTCAGATGCTACAGAATTCATATTTTACCAGCTTCAGTTTCTGTACCAAGTGGCTTTTGTGGGTACGGAACTGGTCCTGGCTAGGTTTAGTGGAGTGATACTCCCACCGGCATTTTGCTCTAATTCCTTCTGTTCCTCAGTTCTCTCAGTGAGTACTGGTACAGCACAAAACATTGCAATACTGCCATCCCAGCCAAAGCAAGCTTTCGGTTTTTGGCTTCCTGAAGCACAGAGATGAGGACTGGGGCAGAACTGAGTTCTGTTGCAAGCCACGAGTTACCTGGTGCAGCTCTGCCAGTGAGGTTGCTGGTGAGGAAGGGAGTGTGTTTGGGTTTAGGGATTAGCATTCTCTACTGTCAGTTCACTGGGATGTTACCTCCTTGGGTTTCTTGGTGTTTTAGACTATGGAGAAGAATTATACATAATTCCTATTTTTAAGAGGTTTGAAAGGTGGTAAGGATAGAAGAAAGTGTCTTGTCCTCCATATTGTTGGGCACATGACCCAGAATTCTCCCCATATCACCTCTGGCCTAGATTACTGCAATAACCTTCTGTTTGATTTTCCTGCTTCAAATCACTTCCTACTCCCAATTCATCTTCAAAACAATTGCCAAAGTGTTTTTCATAATATGTATGTCTGATCACGTTACTCACTTTCTCAATAAACTCCACTGACTTTCTATTACCTCTAGGATCATATATAAACTCCGTTGTCAATGAGACCAGGCCTTTCTTATGGCTGACCTGTCCTGCCTCATCTTTAGGCTTCTAAAACCCAAGGACTACAACTCAGCCAGACCCTGTTCAGGGCTAGCCTGAGGCAAGAGTAGGAATACTGCCTTCTCACTAGGCTTCCTGAGAATCCTTTCCTACCTACCCCTCCCCCCCACCAGCGGTAGGGTAAATGCACTACCAGAACACATCATCACCTAGTCCTTCCTTCTGTGAAGTAAATGTGTAGATGTCTCCTAGGACACAGCAATCCAGCAGTTTGAACAGTTGAGGGCTGTGCAGAAATCAGAGAGTTGACCTTAAACCTTCTAACCACTAGCGTTCATGAGAGACCTCACTGATACTCTGCTTGATCTCGATCTCCAAGGGTGAGAGCATTCCTATCCCTTTTGTTTTCTTCTCAACCCAGTGAAACCAAACCCCTGACTTTCTCAAGAATAAATCCCTCTCCCTAATCCCAGCTGCCAGTTCCCTTGTTCTTATCCTACCTCAACCCTCCCTGATATCCTACTCCAGATCTGTCTGCTCTTTCTACAGTACTCTCTGGAGCTCCTGCATCATAATCAACAGACTTCATATAGCACTTCTATTGCTCCTCTTACTTTCTGGAATTTACCAAGACCTGGATCCCTTTCTCCCCCAGTAACTTTCATTCTATATCTCTTCTTTCTTCTTAGCTAAACTCCTTAGTCTACACTCTGTGCCTCCATTTTCTCTCCTATCATCATTCTCATCTGAACTCTGCAATCTTGCTTTTGACTTCATCATTTAACTGAAACTTCTCTCTCCAAAGCTAGCAATGATTTCTTAATTGCCAAATCAAGTTGTGTCTTCTCAGCCTTCATACTTTTTGACCCCTCTGTAGTCTTTGACACTGATGACTGACTTTTCCCCCCTGGATACTCTCTCCCCTCTGAGTTTTCATGCCTCCTACCTGTTAGATCACTATCAAGCTTCTTTGATGCATCTTCATTTATGGCAAGCCCACTCACTGGTTGTCACCCAAGGCTCTGTCTTGGGCTTCCTCTTTTCACTCTATACTATCTAGCTTAGAGATCTTATTAGCTCCCATAGATCCAATGGCCATCTCTATGCAGATGACTCCCAGATCTATATATTTAGCGCTAGTCTCCTGGGCTCCAGCCCCATATTACCAGTTGCATATCAGATATTTTGAACTAGAAAGTCTTAGGCATTTTAAATTCAAGATTTCCAAATCATTATCTTTTCTCTAAAGTCCACTTCTTCTGAATTTCCCTAGTTCTGCTGAAGGACCATTCATGACTAACCTTCCAGTCACCTAGGATCCAAATCTCAGTGTCATCTTTGACTTTTCACTTTCACACACCCCTTATACCTAATCAGTTGTAGATATTACAGTTTCTTTGTCCACAGTATAACATCCCTTTTCCTGCATTCACACAGCCATCTTGCTAGTTCTATTTCTCGTCACCTCTCACCTGGACTATGGCAATAGCTTTGCAATTGAACTCCTTGCCACAAGTCTCTTCCCCCCTCAAACCATCCTCTATTTATCTGCCAAAATGATTTTTCCCAAAGTGTAGATCTGTGTCGACTGCCTCCCACCCCCATCAATAAATTCCAATAACTTCCTATTATGTTTAGAATCAAATGTAAACTCTTATATTTGGCATTTAAAGTTCTTCAGAAGTTGGAACCTCCCTGTGTTTCCAGCCTTCTTACATGGTACCCCCTTCCATGCACTCTACAATCCAGCCATACTTGGGGTACTTGCTGCTCCTCACCCCTGACACTCCATTGCCCATCTCTGAGACTTTGCAATTTTCATTCTCCATGCTAGGAAAGCTCTCTCTCTCTCTTCAGCTATGCCTCTGAAAATTTCTGATTTCTTTCAAAACTCGTTAAGATCAAGTGCCACCTCCTACAGAAAGCCTTTTCTGATCCATGTAATTGTAAATGCTGCCTATCTGCATATGATGATTTGTATATACTTTCACAACAGTCTGACCTCATGGATCTGGGGACTACAAGGTGCCCTGTACCTAGGCCTGAAAAGGACAAATGAAACAAACCTGAATCTCAAATTCATTTCTTGGCACCACAGGGTCTAAAAGGAAGGGACAGGTGACCCTTACCCCTACCCAACTTAGCATGTGTTCATCCTGCAGGTGAATAAGACCAAAACCTTTACTCCTGGATGCCACTGAGTAGGGGGGAGAAAAAGAGACACACAGAGAGAGAGACACGCACACACACACAGAGAGACAGAGGCAGAGAGACAGAGACAAAGAGGCTACTATGTGACCAATGGAAAGGGGCTACTCTCACTAAAGTGATATGGTTGTGAAATGCAGAGTGCCTTCTCCCAGGTGCTGGAGTCTCCAATGTAAGTGTTTCCATCTAAGGTGATCTCAACATGCAGCAAAGCCCTGTCTGACTTCTTTTTATACATAATATGTTGTGTATGTATATGTATGTATGTCAATATTATTTTCTATATGAGAATATAAGTTCGTTGAGGGTGGGGACTGTTTAACTTTTGTCTTTGCATCCTCAGGATTCAGTTCAGTGCTTGATACATAGCATGCACTTGCTCAGTGCTTATTGGCTGACTGAATTAAATTCTGTTCTACTCAAAACGCATTTATTAAGTACCTGCTACATGCAAGGAACATGCTAGGCACTGGAGATGCAAAGACAAAACCCCCAAGCAGTCCTTACCTTCAAAAAGTTTACTTTCTACCGAAGGATTCATTTACTTCCTACTATGTACAAGACATTGTGCTAGGTAAGTCCCTGCCTTCAAGGAGCTCACAATAATGTGGTAGTGGCCGGTGAACTACAATCACTAATAATTACAATGCAAATTAGAATGATTTTTTTTAAAAGTGCATAGAAGTGAAACCAAGTCATTAAAGATTCAAGGAAAGAGGGGTCCCCTTAGGTAGGGAGATTAGGGAGGTCCTCATGAAGAAATTAGCACTTGAGTCAAGCCTTAAAGGAAGAGAAGGATTTCAACAGGTATGTGGAGAGAGTTCATTCCAAAAATGGGGGACAGCAAAATCACGATTGTGGGAAATGGAAGGATGAGGTCAGGGAAAGGTGAAGAGTTCCGTTTGCTAGAATACAGAATGCTGAGAAGGGAGTGCAATGATGGATGTAAGTCTGAGAAGTAAAATGGAACCATACTATATGGGGCTTCAAATCCCCAGAACCTTGCTAGATGCCACAGGGAATGCAATGCAAAAGATGAGTATCCCCTGGCCAAGGCTCCATTCCTGCTCCTTCGGACATCCTGAAGTGACTCTGTTGCCTGTTGAGGAAGAGGATGAGGAAGCATTGGGTAGGACCGAGTATTTGCATTCAGTTTCCTCATCTGATAAAGGAGCACATTGCACTAAATAACCTCAGAGGACCCTTCCAGAGCTAAATCCTACAATCCTAAGAGTCAGAGCTGGGACTGAAATTCCAGATCTCCAGTCTTAAAGTCTAGCATTTTTTTTTCTCCTCTACATATAGTGCCTCTCCTATGTCTGGTATCCTGACTCCTCTCTATGTCAGTCCTGGGTGGGTCAGATGTCCTTACCAATGCTTTATATGTTCCCCTATTCTCTTCCACAGCGGGGCTCAGTTGAGCCTTGTCTCCAGATCCATAATTTGTACTCCGTGCCAAGGTGCCCAGTACAGGCCTCCCTGCCAAGACTAAATCGAAGAACTGTAAGTCAACCCTCATACCCACTGAACCGACTCTCCTCTGTGCCCATCTGTGACGCCATGGAGCATCCCCCATCACAGGCGGAGTTGGAGCTGGACTATAACCTTCCCCGGGTTCAGCTGAGCGATGAGATGTTCGTCTTCCAGGACGGGAGATGGGTGAATGAGAATTGCCGCTTGCAATCCCAGCACTTCTCCCCCGCCTCCTCTTTCCATCATAAGCTACATCACAAGAGGCTGGCCAAGGAATACATCCTGCAAGAGGAGAACAAGTCCCTTCGGGAGGCGAACAAGTCCCTTCGGGAGGAGAACAAGTCCCTTCGCGAAGAGAACAAGGCCCTTCGGGAGGACAACAGAGTCCTGAGTAAGGAGAACAAAATTCTCCAGGCCTTCTGGGAGGAGAACAAGGAAGAGAACAAAGGCGAGCTGGGGAGAGCGGCCGGCGCGGCTTCCTCGGTTCTGATCCAAAAGGACAACGCAGCCCTCCAGGTCCCGAAGAAGGACAACGCAGCGCTGCAGGCGCCCAGGAAGGAAAGCGCCACTCTGCAGTTTCTCCGGGAGGAAAATCGGGCACTCCAGCTACTTTTGGAGCAAAGAGAGGCCCATTGGCCCCATCCGGAGCAAAAGACACGTCCCCATGAGGAATCTAAGGGCCTCCCAAGCCCTCAGGACGGCGTCCACAGCGCTTCAAGGCAGTCGGGGGAGAGCACCATCCCTCCGTGCGAAGAACCCAAAGGGCCTGCGACCCTTCACGAGGCCAGTAAAGCCCTTCAGTCCCTCCGGGAGATGGTCAACAACCTGTCCATCCCTCTCGAGGACGTCAAGGCAGTGCCAGGCCTCCAGGAAGAGGCGCAGTCTCTGCAGGTTCTTCGGGAAATGAACCAAGCCCTGCAAGCCCTGCGGGAGGAGAACCAGAGCCTGCGCGCCCTGCGAGAGGAGAACCGGATCCTTCACGAGGAGAACCGGGCCCTCGAGCTCCTGAGAGAGGAGCACTGGGCCTGCCAGGAGGAGAACAAGGTCCTGTGGGAGAACAATAAGCTGAAGCTGCAGCAGCAGCTGGTGATCGAAACGGTGACGGAAATCACCGCGAGAATGAGGATGCTGCTGGAAGAGTTATATGGCCACATGCCCCCCAAGAACAAGGAGCCGAAGAAGCCCGGCAGGGTCTGAAGGCTGGAAGGCCCAGAGCTCGGGAAGGGGGGCCCAGTTATAGAGCTTCATTTGAAAACTTCCTCTCCTTTCCCCGGCGCCTTCCCCTTCCCCCTGGCACCTTGGTGCCTATGGAAAGAGCAGTATTATTGGCCCCCTTGATGCCAGAGAAGTAATAAAGGCATGAGGAAGAGTTTGGGAGACTGGCCTGAGAGTTATTTCACGATTAGAGTTGTAACTACCATTTTCCTCACCTGGGGCAAGCTTCACAAAATGTCACAAATTTTAAAGACAATTTAGTTGGGGGAGGAAGAAATGGAAATACAGAGATACACCCTCCCCTCCCCCCTCCCATGCTCTGTGGAGAGGAGGTGGGGAAGATGGAAAGATGAGCCTCACCTAGGACATAGCAGCCAACGGCAGGAAATGAGCCACTAGGGAGATTCTTATTTTATAATCATGCTTGCCAAGTAGGTGCTAAACTCAGTCATTTTCGTGCTGCGGAGGATCTTGTCAGCTCCCTCCGGAGCCCCCGTTGGCCTGTTTTAGAACTCTGCTAGTCATTCCCGCATGTTCGCCTCCTTTCTCTTGTCCCATCTTGTCCTCTTCTTAGCACTAGACCCCGATGCCAGGTAATCTTCATTGTTCACTCAGTGAATCTTCCTGGTGGCTGGGAGGGTGCAATCCTTGGAATAAACAAGCAATCAAGCTGACTTTGGAAGATGCCTGGAAGCACAGTTCAGCAAACAAAAGAATTTACAGAAATTAAGTGGTATAGTAAATAAAGAATGTTGGGCTTGGAATCAGGAATACCTGCATTCAAATCTCACCTTTGATGCTTGTTAGCTGTGTGACCTTGGACATGTCACTTCCCTCTGATCCTCAGTTTGTTCCCATGTAAAATGGGGATAACAGCATCTACCTCGATTTTGTTGTGAGGGATTGAATGAAACAACTTACATGAAGCACTTTTGCACATCTTAAGGCCCTATATAAATGTGAGCTATTATTCCCATTTTATAGGCATAGAAATTATAGGACCCCATATATTGAGAAGCACCCCTGAGGGGTCATGAAGAAAAAGGCAAAGCCTAAACTTATTCCTACTTCAATATTTCAACTGCTGAAGTGATGGGAATAAGCAGATGGCCAGTGGTCGCAGAGATTATTAGAAATATAGGAGCATAGATTTGTATCTAGAAGAGACCTTAGAGAGGCCATCTAATCCCATTTGCTTATTAAAAAAATTCAGAACTTAACAAACACCAAATAAAATGGGCATTTCCATATGCAGAACAGAACAGAATAAGAGGATTGTGCATGAAACCGCAGGTCTCTGTTATGGACAATTTGCTTCTTTCTTGAAGTATTTAACATGCTCAGCCTGTAGCCTTCAAAGCTGTTCTGCCTGTCTGTGATTCTTAAGAGTAATAATGATGATAGTTAGCATTTATACAGTGCTGTAAGGTTTGCAAAGCTTTTCAAATGTTAGTTCATTTGATCCTCACAATTCCATGCGATAGCTGCTATTATTATCCCCATTTTACCAATAAGAAAAATGAGGCACAAAGAGGTTAAGTGACTTGTCCAGAGTCTCAAAACTAGTAAGTATCTGTGGCTTTATTTCAACTCATGTCTTCTTTACTCCAAGTCCCGGCCTTTCTTTTGCTCTCTTCTCTGAATTTAAAAAAAAAAAGCCTCAATGACTCTTTTTCTTTCTTTCTTTCTTTCTTTCTTTCTTTCTTTCTTTCTTTCTTTCTTTCTTTCTTTCTTTCTTTCTTTCTTTCTTTCTTTCTTTCTTT